CTTGAGCCCAGGAGTTGGAGGTTGCTGTGAGCTGTGATGCCACAGCACTCTACCCAGGGGGAGAGCTTGAGGCTCTGTCTCAACCCCCCCCCCAAAACAATGTAATCTAAAAATTTGTACCCTCATACTAATTTGAAATAATAATAAAAAAATAAAGTAGCAAAGTTGGAATGTGAGCTCAAGACCAGTTACTCCAATTAGCTCTAGGAAAATGATTTTCATGATAAGGACATAGGTCTCATGGAGTTTTCCAGAAAAGACTGTAGCAAGAAACAGAGTAGTTCCAGGAGCCACATCAATTGGATATATATATATATATATATATATATTTTTTTTTTTTTTTATGATAGAGGGTCTTACTCTATTGTCCAGGCTGGAGTACAGTGGCACAATCACAGCTCACTGCAGCCTCAAACTCCTGGACTCTAGCAATCCTTCCAGCTCAGCCCCCTAAGTAATTGGGACTACAGGTACCTAGCTCATTTTTAAATTTTTTATTGTTTGTAGAGATGGGGCCTCACTATGTTACCCAGGCTGGTGTCAAAATTCCTGGCTTCAAGAAACTCTTCTGCCTCATCCTCCCAACGTGCTGGAGCTATAGGCATAAGCCACTGTACCCAGCTCTTAATTCATAGTCTTAATAGACAAGGCCCCACTGATCACAAGATGGCCAATAGTCTAGCTCTCCTGGGCAGATGTCCACCCTGATCCAGTGAGCCACAGTGAGGGATATAGACATCTGCTGATTTCAGGTAAGGCTAGAGGGGAAATTTGGCATGACAGAAAAATCTATTAACCCCTGTTACAGTTAAATATTTGAAGATTGGATTGTTGAATCTACTGTCCTTGTCCTCTAAGAGCTATTATTATTTTATTATTGTTAATATATCATAATTAATTAAAAGCTGCAGTTTCTTGAACAGTATCATGTACAAGGCATGGTGTTTATAACTAGCAATCTCACTGAATTCCCATAATGAAAGTTAGGCAGTCAGAGACCTTCCTTTGTGTATGGCAACCCCAGGGACAAGTGGGATTTAAAAGGTATGCTTTGGGGAAAGAAGTATAATTATTCAACATTCATTTAATCAGAGAAGCTAAGTGGTAGGTGGAGTCATAAAGGAAGGCAAAGAACTGGGCAGGCAGATGTTAAGTGGGAGATTGTTCCAGGCATAAGGGAAATGGGGGTGGGTATGAAAAAAAGCAAGAGAGAGAAGAGCCAAGGGAGGAAATTTGGTTTGACTGGATAAAAGGGATAGTGGGAAGAGGGAACTTTGGTAAGAGCTATGAAATGAGCAGGGAGAAGCACAGAGATCTTCAAATCATGGACCCTTCCGCACCCCTCTCCCCTCCTCCATCAGGTGAGCAGAGCCAACATACCCTCCCCATCCCTTCTTCTTGGGGCCTCTAGAGACTACATGTTCAACTCCTGACCTGCTCCTTGGCTCTGGGCTTCATATCCCATTTACTGTACTTACATTATCCTGTATCATCATCTCCATGCCCAGCCTGGGGACGGGACCCCGGTTCCTTCCTACACATTCCATTGGCTTCTGTATTTGGCATGGAGCTCCTTAGCGGCATTGAGACTTCTCTTGTCGTGGCTCAACACATGGCTCAAGTGGGTCAACTGCTGTCAGTTTGGTGGGACCCAAGTGAATAAGACTCTGTTTTAGATAAGTTTATTTGATTGTAAGGAACATACAGTCACACACCAAGGGTTTATTCAGATGTTCAGAGAGAAATATGGAAAATGGGGTCTGGGCTCAGCGCCTGTGGCTCAAGTGGCTAAGGCGCCAGCCATGTACACCCAAGGTGGCAGGTTCAAATCCAGCCGGGGCCGCCAAACAACGACAGCTGCAACCAAAACATAGCCGGGCGTTGTGGCAGGTGCCTGTGGTCCCAGCTACTTGGGAGGCTGAGGCAAGAGGCTCACTTGAGCCCAGGAGTTG